CAACTATCGCGTTGTGATGGTGAAGCAAGACACTGAGATGGACATGCGAGGTCGATGTTCCGCTGGCCAGAAGGTTCTTGCTTCCATCGTGATCCGTCTCGCACTTGCAGAGTGTTTCGGCACAAATTGCGGTCTCATCGCGCTCGACGAACCCACTACAAACCTAGATCAGCAGAATATCAAGGGCCTCGCCGAATCCTTGTCCCAGATCATCCAGAGCCGCAGGAAGCAGGCAAATTTCCAGCTACTAGTCATTACCCACGACGAGCAGTTCCTGCGCGAGATGAACTGTGCCGATTACACAGACTCGTATTGGCGCGTTGGTAGAGACGTGAGGCAGGAGAGTTATATCGAGCGCCAGAATATTGCTGAGGTAACTGCTCTCCAACGCCCATTGATGCTGTCAACGAGTAGACACACCCTCCTCAATAGGGTTCCCTTTGAACAATGAGCCGGACAGGTTCTAACATTTGACAGGTTTCTTGATCCCACTATCCACTTTTGCAATTTTTATTCACTGTAATGAGTAGCGCAAGGTAGATTTCACGCATTATAGGAGTTGTAATGGGCGTCATAGCGACGGAGTTAGCACCACACCTACCAATACCCAGTTTCCACTTCAACTATCGGGTATAATGTTTTCAAAACGATTGCATGTATCATCTCAAAACATCTGTCACTACCAACACCGACACAGCAGTGTTTGGCAAATGAGCTCGTGTTTTCTAGGTAATGTCTCCAGAGTGTGCTTCAGTATTCGTGTACAACACAGAAAAAAAAGCACATCTTCATACCTTGCTAGGCCACAGCACTAGCTACAGTCATATTTTTATCACTCATGAGCCCGTGACCCGCGATGTGTATCACTTCAAGACAAAGAAGGAAACAACGTCGTCGCTGTGGTGATCGTTACAGCTCCCATCCTAGTCTTCTAATCCCCACCCAATCACATTTTGCTCATTTGATACAAGAGCTCTACCTTGGTCATCAGCTGAAAACATTGAGTCAATATTGGACTACACAGCCACGCGGCTGGGATTACTGCGGAAAGGTGGTGGACATCGATGGCATGTACGAGGGGTGATGGGGCGGCGTCAGCAGTGATTTGGGTCGCTTCAGGGGTAACGGAATAGAGACGGGAATTGATATCGTTGACGATGGTGGAAAAGGAATAAATATATAGGATCAGAGGATGAGTGGTGATAGCCGCATTAGAAGGGCATAAGACAAGTTTTGGTTATTCGACTGTGTATTCCAAGTTTAACCATTCTAATTGATCATTGAAGGTTTACGAATAGCCCTCCGTCGACCAGCAATTGTGCACCATTGACATAGCTGCTCAAATCACTTCCTAGGAAGATTGCTGGCCCAGCAAGATCACTCGGTATGCCAGTCCTGCCCAACGGTATCCTGCCTTCCATGTACTTCCGCTTCTCTTCGTCCTCGAGATCCTTCTCGTTCAGCTGTGTCTTTATTGTACCCGGTAGCAGCGCGTTGCATCTGATGTTGTGTTTCCCAAGTGCGCATGCGGAAGATTGGATCAGGGAGAGCACACCAGCCTTTGTAGGTGTGTAGTGGCCCTGGTATGCGCCGCCAACAAGCGCGCTGATGGAGGAGATACCGATGATGGAGCCACCCGGGGGTGATTGGGTAGACATTTGCTTCGCGCCGGCTTGGATGGTGTGGAATGCGCCGGTGAGGTTTGTCGTGAGGGTTGAGTTCCAGAGATCTGGTGTGATTCTACAGATTGGTGTTAATTTCTTACATGTCTACCATGACCATGCGGATGCTGAACGAGGTACTTACTCTAAGAACTCCTTGAACTCGCAAATACCCGCATTGCTTATCACCACATCCAATCGTCCCCATCTTTGCACCACAGCCTCTACCAACTTCTTGCCTGTCTCTGGATTTCCTACATCGCCGGGCACTTGTAACAGTCTCTTCTCTACATCTTCTTTGCTAACTTGTAAGTTCTCAGCTGCCTCGTCGACGAGGGTCTGGTACTGTGTTGCGGATTTGTCGTCGCCAAAGTGGTTCACTGCCACGTTTGCGCCATGCTGGAGATATCCCAGAACTATTGCGCGGCCAATTCCGGTGACACCGCCAGTGATGATCATGGACTTTCCGGACAGCAGCTGAGGGGTTTGCGCGGCCGGCGGCGTCCACAGACTGTTCTTGCGTTGGTGAGACATGGTCTTTGTAGCTATCGAGTGCGGGGCGTGGGGTACGGTAGACGGTATACAGCGCAGTACAAGGGGCTCAGGGTGGTCTAATCAGAGCTTCATGGGCGTTGTTCGGACAAGAGGAAATAAATTGTCCAAGACCACTGTCCGCCCAGGGAGAAGCCATGATATACATGCCGCTATGCGCAATCTGGTTCGGTAGGTGCGATGTATACGTGAGACGCTTGCCGTCTTCGGGCCACGTGCTCGGTGCATTCCCAGCCGAGGCCGAAGATCTTGGCGGTCGTGTCGCGTTCCAGTTGAACCATTTGCGCAATTCACGCAAGGCGCAGTCTACTGTTGCGATTCAACGCCACGTCAAGAATGGTCTACTCTTGGGACGATAAAGAAGCAGTATGCTACCAGCTCTATGTTGAGGAGCGGAGGAGCTTAGAAGAGGTCATGTCGTATTGGGAAATCCGGGGATTTACTCCAAGGTATGCAAGTATTGCGCGCGGCAGCACGTACAGGCTGCCGTACGCCTTCGCCGTCATCTCTCAATCCTAGCGTGCAAACATGTCCAGAACGCATGATACTTACTGTGTCGCCCTAGCAAGCGCGCCTTTCAGACACAGTTCAAGGCAAGTCACCATCACACCCTTCTCATCACCCACTACAAGGCCTCCGCTGACACCGTCACAGCGATGGGACTTCCCCTCGAAACAGAACCCGGCATACAAAAACCCCGCCCTCGTTGCGCGCCTCCAGCAACTATGGGAGCAGAACTACACACAGAAGGACATGGTCGATACGCTACAGACTGAAGGTTATCAGATCAACGACCGCGAACTGCTGCGCTTGCGACTAAGGCTCAAGCTCCTACTCCGAGAAAGTGTCGCCAGACCAAAGAAGCAAAAGACTGCTGGAGGAAGGATACAGAAGAAGCCGAAGAAGAAACCTGCCAAGCCTGTGCCAGGCAATGGTCTAATCAACCAGCTTGGGAATGCAATCTTGGCCGAGGAATCGACGAGCGATGACGGAAGCGAAGACGAGTCCGGGGCTGCTCAACAAAGAGATGAAGAGGAAGAGGGTGGGGCATATGTGGACGAGGCTCGGCCTATACTCCCTGAGCCCGACGTCACAGGTTTGAGCGCTGAAGAGGTGGTCCGAAAGCAACTGCGCCAACAACAGCTTCAAGCCGAGAGCGACGAGAAATGGCGTACACGGAAGCGAAGACGTCGAACACGAGGCTGGGCTGGATTGCCAGCCGACGCTCCCGGCGAACCTCCGCGATTCCCTTCTGAAACTACCATCGACGAAGCCAAAGCCTACCTCGGTTTGGACAACGACAAATACCGCCAAGTCAGAGAGTGCTTCCTTCAAATGTGCAAAGAGCAAGACGTTACCAAGAAGACAATCGCCGGTCCGGAGAAGTGGTCGCAGCTTGTACAGCACTTGATTCAAAGTGATAAACACTTGGCCGAGGTGTTCCAACAAGAGCCAGAAGTGCTACAAAATGACGATGCGCTCTTCCGTCCGAGAGGCCAGAGAGCGCTGTCACTTGATGTCATCTGCATGGACGTCACAAAACGCTTACGAACAATGGATGCACGCATGACTCTCGCCGACGCGAAGAACCTCCTTGGTCTCAATCCTCAACAGACAAGACACGCGCGCAACATGTTTGCCAACAGGTTGAAATCGGCTCATTTTACAAACAAGCACGAAGCTGGCGAGGAACGTTGGACAGAGTTGAAGCAAGCTTGGGTCAATGAGTCTGAGAAGCTTACAACAGCACTCGCACAAGGAGAAGAGGATCCTGACTATGCGCGGAAGCTACGCGCTCTCGAGGTGCTCGCTCGAGATGTAATGAAGCGACAACAGCAGGAGAAGACAGCCAAAGACCCCAGCAAGAAGAAACAGGTACACCAAGGACCGGGGCCTGGGCCAGCACCGCCTGTCGTCGCTCCACACCCGACAATACTAGGCGGTAAGGGGAGACAGCACAGTAGTGTTGGTCGGAAGGAAGCAACGCGTGCCTCATATACTGCCGTGTCCTCTCTACCGACTACTTCAGACCTACAGATTGACCCATCTCTCTTGTTAGCCGCGAGTGACGCCGCTATACTTCCTGTTCCTGATCACACGCCTCGGTACCACTACCAGCCCGGTCAGTACCAACCAGCCACCCAGCATCAGCAGCATAGTTCACACAACCACTACCCGGAAGAATACTACCCAGCCGCCTCGAACACGTCTATACCGCTACCAGTGTATTTTCGCTTGCATCCACACTCCTCGACTCCCTTCCCTAACAAATCAGTCTGGCTTTCCATCATCCAGACGCCCTCGGTCGTCGAACTACGGAATCTAGCAATGCACGAGCACCCGGGTACTACGGTACATAAACTTGAGGGACTGATTCCATACCGAGGTGATCGGGCGGATCGCGAAGTTGCGGTTGAAGTTACAGACGATGGAGAGCTGAGTGCATATTTGGGACACATCAAACGAGGCGACGGAGGAGCTGCTCAAGGGAAAGCAACCTTTATTGTGCTGTTAGGACCTAGTGCGGAAGGGGAGTATGCATGATTGTTCTGAAAATACAGTTCCGTTGCTTATTAAAACTTTGTGATTTGATATTGTTAGAATACAAGTGTCTAGTCCTACTACGTATGGAATATCCTTCAAGTCTTTTCTGCAGATCAAAACATGTAACTTGATGTTGAATGTGACTTTATCTTAATCGATTCGATCGGTACATGTGCACAAGGACTTCATGCATTCATGTTTTCGTCACTAGAATCCATTTAGGAGCCGCTTACATAGGCTTCTTCACAATGCTACGCCATATGCTTCTTCCCCAGCCTCTCTCCAGACCTTCTGCTTCTCCTCTTCTACGTATCCCTTCCTATCCATCCACGTCTTCACTACCTCTCTCCAGAGCTTCCAACTTCCCTGCTCGCCTGCTGGCCCACCCACATTGCACACCGGCCAGTCGCTTCCGAACATGACTCTTCCTGGGAAACACTGGAAGATGTGATTTAGGAAAGGCGTAAGGGCAGTCAAGAGCGTTGGTACATCTGATGGCGTCGGCGAAACAGTGAACTCATTGAAAGCGCCGGACAGTTTCATGAAGATGGCCTTATCCGAGGAGAGAGACGTCATGGTTTGGAGCCAGACGTCGGACGGGGGTGTAGGGTCGGGTGACAGAGGGGGTTTGGCGAGGTGATCTGGGTTGGTGTCTGAGTTAGCTAAACCACATCATATAACAAGGCAGTTCACGAATAACGATGTCGGAGTAGTCAAAAGTGCAAGAGGAGGGTATGAACTTACTCAGCACGAACTTCACGCGATTCTCATGCCCCTCCTTCTCCTCGTACTGCCTTAGTCCTGCAATCAACTTACCAACCGCCTTCATCGGTTCCTCTCCATCCCTATGTGTATCAACACCCACATCAAAGCACCACGCCTCACAACCTCCTTCTAATCTTTTCAGCGCGCAAAGGTTCTGGATCCAACTCTCCTCGCTCTCTTGTAACATCTTCGCAACAACACCGTCTCCTTTCCCTTGCAACAAGTACCTAAAGCCCTTAACATACTGCCACAGCTTCGGTCCGGCCACTTCCCTTGCAACATCAAGATAAGCCTTGAAAACGCGCGGAGCGCAATGAAATGGAGCGTAGATCACACATCCCTTCATCTTCTTTGCCTCACTCTCTACAAACCCATCGCCCTCCTCTGGCTTTCCCTCCACGATTCGTGCCAGAAAACGGAGCTCCTCCAAGGGCTCCTTCGCCCACGTCCGCAGCTTGGCTTTTACATCTTCGTCGTTGTCTGATTCGTTAATGCTTGGAGGTTCCGCGGAAGGAAGATACCGATCGGTTTCTACGTAGATGAAACCGGAAGGTTGGGGGGACGTGATGGTGAGGTAGTCAGATATGCCGTGTCTCTTAGCGAGGTGGTGGCCTGGTGACATCCAGCCATGATTTGAAGATGAGGTGGCTGTTGAAGGCCATAGATGGATGTGTGTGTCTAAGACCCCTGAGGATGACATCGCGGATTATTGGCTGGATGTGCGGGCCGTGGGGCGCGGAGATGGGTAAGTAAAGCTTGTGGTGATATGGCAAACTTGAGAAATCGATAACTGCTTGGTATGAAGACCCTTTCGTGGTTTGTCATGCCTAGAGCATGAGAACTATGTTTGTTGGTCGGCTTGATGCGGGGATGTCGATACTTCGGTTGGCGGGGTAAGAGACTCCGAATAGTGTATATTATTGTATTCACTTTTGTATCGTGCAGAGCACAATTGATTCACAGTCAATTTCTTGCTATCTGTGGAGAATTCTCGCCAGTAAAAAAACGGTGACTTGTTTTTGACTCAACAAGATAGTGTTGGCATGTTGGCCCCAGGGCAATATCAGTGATGGACGCAAGGTGTAGATGAGCAATGTGCTTTCACGTAACCTAACAATATTAGAGCTACATAGAGACAACATGAGTTTCGAGCATGAGAAACTATAGAGTGAATCCGGATGGACCGAAGTAACATTCCGGCTTGGCTATCCTCTACCACGGTGTTACCAGTGGTAGTCGAGGCCATGTACAATGTATCGTCGATGACAGGCCTCGGCTAGTTGAACCCGAGACACACAGGTGGCTGCACGTCATGCACAAGGACACTTTAAGTCCATGACCCTTTGTTCTAGACACATGCGAGTTGTGCAGCTTGGCATCACAGTGGGAGCGCAGTACCTACTACATAGGACAGAACCCACATACTCTCACCAACGCGCTCCACGGAGGTAATGTACTGCAATTAGGCGTCCCCTGCACGCAGGATGCCGACTCTGAGGTGATTCCGAAAGGCAGCTCGTTTCGATTGCGCAGTGATAGGCGCTTAGTCGTCCCGCGCTTCCCAGCCACAAAGACAGGTGTCAAACTCAATGCCTATGAAGCCGACGGCAAATGTGGGGTAGCAGTTAGGCAGAGGGTACGGATATACTTTCGCTTGGAAGGCGAGAGCGGGCGGCATTGACCCTGGTGCTTTGCCCTTGACTGCGTGGAAAGCAGAGTAATTCCCGTGATTGTTTGGAAGCGAAGGAGGGGTAAGCGGAGCAAAGAGGGCCGGAGAAGCACCGATAGTACAGCGCGCAGCTCAACAAACAATTTTCAGAAGTCGTGCATATGTGAGGCTCTGCAATGTCCCTGTATTTTGATGGAGCTTGACATGTGACTGGGGATCCTGTTTTCTGCATCTGCCGAAGTTCTTGTATCGGCAGCTCGCATCATGCGCGAATTAGATGTATGGCCGAGCTGTCAAACTGTGACAGTGTGGTGGCTGAGCGTCTCCAGTCCGATTGACCTCAGCTTTTAGTGAACTCCACCAATGTCAGCAGGACCCTCTCTGTATTTGCAAAAGAGAGGGTCTCCGGATGGACCATTGCTGTTGGGTCTCTAACATCACCTCAGCGCTTACCACTTCAGTGCATTATGGCACAATTCTGCTGGGCACTAGTTGTTATTGTACCCACACCCGTTTGCCCATCATCCGCCAGTATCTATCAGCGAGTGGGCCTAGTATCGGAGTAGTCTTTTCAAAATACGATGGGAATGTCTGGCGGCGTCGTCCCGCGATGTATGACGTTAAGTGTTACCAGCTGACTCGCGCGGCGCCGAACGCCTAAAATCATGATCAAGGACCGAGAGGTCGTCCGGCTGTTTTGATCTTGAGTGCGAGAAGAGGGTGGGGTGAAAAGTCTGGATGCAGCGAAAGTAGCCGCGAATGTGGAGAAGACAGGCAAGACCCTTGATGTTTTTTTTCCGCCGAGTCAGCGATGGCTCAGTTGGGATGCACGTCATTTTAGCGCATTTGTAGCCGTGGAGTAGAGGTACGTGTTGCGGCTCGCTCGGTTCAAATGACCGACCATTAGTGAGCGAGCAATTGACGATTTGCTTTCGTGGCTGATAATATCGAGATGCACCTTTGAATGGGATATGGCTTTGGTTGTTTGAGGCTGACTTGTAGCTGCAGGGTCTTGCCATGACAGAAAGTCTTGCCTCTTAGTGTAGGCTGATGACAATGATCATGTGAGGACATTGTACGACGTCGTCATCTAAGATCGACGAACCATGGAAAAAGTAACGCTTGCTCCGGGGTCCGTAGTGGGCAAGGCTTGATCGGATCTATTCTACAAGAGTCGCGCCGAGCCTAAGAATGGCTAGTAAGGGTTCCTAAAAGGCCACCTATACCTGCGGTATTAATCGACGCGCAAGCCAGTGGAGTTCATGGCCGTACGTCAAAACGATGACGATGACATATATGGCATCTTCCCCACAATTCGACGTTGCAACGTTCCTGGATACTTAGAGATTTCGTGACTGACTGGTCAGATCGTATCTGAGCACGTGACCCCTGCACCGAGACGAAGGCCTTCCCAGTAGATAAATCCGAGGCTGTACCGTGACGAACAACATACGGGCATAACTGCACCACCAATGCAAAGGGTCCTGACTCAGAATGATTTGCAGCTCGTGCTTGCCGCTGGATCTCGGTTCACGACCGGCACGGCGCGACGCTACCTCGGATGCGCCTAACTTCAGGGCTTATCCCTTAGGGACAGGTTGTGGTCGAAAGGTGGCAATTAAGATACTTCAATCAAGCAGTCCAGGTGCAGTAGCAGAAGGGATTGCGGATGTCGAGTGAGCTGCATGCGTATGTTGAACTTGAAAGTTGCTGTCAGTTGCGGAGTCGCGGGACTGTCGAGCTTTGCCCTTGACGGCTCCAGCCTTTGTGTCAGACAAACATGACACGATCATGAGCAGATCCAAAGCTTGCATGATCAGTAGCTTCATATAACCTACGGAGCAGATCTGGGCCTTTTGGAACTTAGGCTAGATGTCCGATGTCGTCAGAGGGTCAGCATCTGTAGGGGCTAAGGAAGTCGATGGGACTCCGCAAGTACACAGTCTTTGCTGTCGCAGTATTAGCCAACATGACATTAGCGCAATCCGCCCTGGCAAGAGTGAAGTGGGTATTGTAAGCATTGCATGACGGCCCATGCCCTCTTTCTTGAACGTGTACGAGTAATTTGGAGCTTCGCGCATAAGGTCCCTGGAGCAAGATAACTGGATAAATGTGAAAGGCATGTGAATGTTTTTGCATGCTTATGTTTGTCCCGACAGCGTGTCTCGCGCGTGAAGCGAGATGTGCAGAGTTTTCGCCTTCGACCCAGCTGCTTGGACAACGTCTCGGATGCTGACAAGCAAGATCGAGCGAAAGACAATTGTCCGGACATGCAAGGTGATTGCGCTGCAGTCGTTAGGTATCCCGACCCATGTTGTATTACATGGAGATGCAAGTATGTTACGCCATCTTGCAATTGTGTATATTAAGCAGTCATGTCATCTCGATTGGAGATGGTCATCACCAGCTCGGCTAGTGTGTGGCGCTCGCCCAGTCTGCACCTGAGCATTTGAAGTACTTTTGATCAGCCAGGCACCAATAACAATGTTCCACCCGGTACTAGTAAATGCTCTGGGGCACGGCACGCGAGTGTCGAACTGCAAGTCCGTGCCTAACTGGTCTACAGCGTGTTGCATCGGGGATGCGGCACAGGGACTTGTAGCAGCTTGGTTATGGAGTCTCAATGTACATGTGTGCTGTTCGATGCTTGCTGTCCCATCTGTTGTGAATGCTGCGTGCGCAGTGGTGGGCAGCTATGACGAGAGGTGGAGAAATGGGTCAGGCGTCGCGCCGCGGACAGCGCCAGCCTAGCGCAGGTGCTTGGCTCTGGACACACAGGCCTGCGGGAGCGGGATGACCAGCATAAGGTTTGAGCAAAGGGTCTCTTCCGTACGATTTGCTGGCTCGCTAGAAGACCAGGGCTCATGCATCTGTCGTCCGTCATCGTCCCTGTTTACAAGACGTAGAATTTTTGTCGTGGGCAGTGAGGAAAATTGCCGCGACGCACGATGATGTTTGATGAGGGCCAGCGATGCAAGTGTGCATGAGAAGTTCGGCGCCGGCATGGTTTCCCTTGAAGCTTCAGCTAGGACGTGCAGCATGCAGGCCCGCTTGAGTGGGCGTCTTCGTTGGTGGGAAGACCTTTGGACGCCATCGACTTTTCAGCGCCATCGGGTCATGATAGGAGAGTGGAATGTCCTAGAGCGTCGTTAACCCTCGAAAGCTTACTGCAGCCGATGTTGAACGGAGTACACGGCCGCAGTAGAAGAAAGGAGCGACTGGTGTGAAAAAGCGCCAGCTGCGAGAGTGACATTGCCCAAAAGCCATGGATTAAACGATTCTGCGGGCCATGGCCGAAAGCGGAGATACGAGGTTGTTCCGAGACTTGGGGAGTGGGTTCATCAATTCCTTATCCCGTAAACCGAGGGGTACCCAGGTACATGCTCTTCGCACCTGCCGTCTTGGAGTGGTTCGTCGGGAGTATTGCCTGCCTGTATTCTTCGTAGTGCGTCTGTCTCAGATAACGTGCCGCTATTTGTCTCGACGCGGCCCAGACTCCCACATCTTTACCCTAAACGATGAAGCAGGCGATGTCCTCGATGCGGGTGATGGTTCGCGCTACTTGGAGACCGTGCAGCGCGGGTAGGACGCCTAAGACGACTGACCAGGGGGGTCGTGTGTTGCTCGGGAAACAGGATGTGATGTTGGGATGGAGTTTTTGTGCCGCGGTTGCACAAATGTCAAACGTGTTCCCAAAGCAGTCGCGTGCGACACGAGCGTGTAGAGAAGGCACTGTTTCAACGGTCATCATCATTGTCATTTGCTGTGACTTTTGCATAAACTACATGGTTGGGTATTCACCAACATCGCGCATGGGAAGACGCTGCAAACTCGTCCATATCCGTAAAACTCCTTGAACACCTTGCATCCGGCCGGGCCCATTTTGGTATCCGAGAGCTGCCACGCTCAATAGTATGAAACAACATAGCGTTGCTCTACCTTCCGTGTACTGGTAGATGCAATGCTTCAAACTCAGATGCGTCTAACATTACTGCATCAAAAACTGCAGCCGAGGCCTGGAATGCCGACTA